GTGTATCACAACAAGGTGGGGGATGGTTCGATGATCTATCTTGTTCTGTATGTGGATGATATGCTCATAGCTGCGAGGTCAAAGTCTGATATCCAGAAGTTAAAGGGGCTTCTCAGTGCTGAGTTTGAGATGAAGGATTTGGGAGCTGCTCAGAAGATCTTGGGTATGGAGATTTACAGGGACAGGTCGAAGAAGAAGCTTTTCTTGTCACAGAAGAGCTACATCCAGAAGATACTGTCGACGTTTGGCATGTCTTCAGCAAAGCCCTTAAATACTCCTAGTGCTTCAAATGTTCATCTATCCTCAGCTTATGCACCGCAGTCAGAGGCTGAGAAGAAGTACATGTTGAGAGTCCCATATGCTAGTGCAGTAGGTAGCTTGATGTACTCTATGGTATGCACTAGACCTGATCTTGCACATGCTGTTAGTGTTGTCAGCAGGTTTATGATACAACCCGGGAAGGAGCATTGGCAGGCTGTGAAGAGGATTTTCCGGTACCTTAATGGTACACCTGATGTGGGGATTAGCTTCGGAAGTGATACAGAGTGCTTGGTGTCTGGGTATTCTGACTCGGACTATGCTGGAGATGTTGACACGAGGAGATCGATGACCGGTTATGTATTCACTCTTGGGAGTTCTGTAGTGAGCTGGAAGGCAGCTTTGCAGTCGGCGGTGACATTGTCTACTACTGAGGCAGAGTATATGGCGTTGACAGAAGCTGCTAAGGAGGGAATATGGTTGAAGGGGCTGGTTGGTGATCTTGGTCTACATCATGATCAGGCAGTGGTGTATTGCGACAGTTTGAGTGCAATATGCTTGGCCAAGGATCAAGTCCACCATGAGAGGACTAAGCACATCGACGTGAGGTATCATTTCTTGAGGCAGAGAAGAGGATTAAGGTGAAGAAGGTTGGCACCGCGGATAATCCTGCTGATATGTTCACGAAGCCGGTTCCACATGGCAAGTTCCAACACTGCTTGGACTTGCTGAATGTCTTGAGTGGGTGACTCCGCCCTACGGGGCATTGATGGCGGGAGAGAGATAGAAGGAGCAAAGTACATCAGAGATTTTAGAGGAAGAGGATTCAAGTCAAGGTGGAGATTTGTTGATATGACTTGAATCGGACTATCAGCCGCTACGACTGGTAATCGGGGGTCTCGCTGTTATTTGGGTTTGCGTTCTGGGCCTGGTCTGTAACCGTTTCCTTTGCCAGATTGGATTAGGTTTAGACCCACATGGAGAAGTACTATAAATACTTCTCATACTCCTCTGTAATCTGTAATCTCCTCGATATAGTGAAATTGGCTCTCTCTCGCCCGTGGACGTAGCTGACACACAACGTGTTAGTGAACCACGTAAATCGTGTGTCGTGTTTTCGATTCTCGCTTTCGTATTCTTGCTTTGTTGATTCCTGCGATATCCCGATCCGTAGCAGCGCGTTTATAACACCCATCTTCTCTTTCATCAACTATTTAGTATAATCGTCATTACTCTCTTTCTCTCTTATTGGGCAAAAATATATCATAATAATACAGAGAGAGTACATAATAATTCCTCATTATAACTAGTCCATATCTGACATGGATTCATCAACAGATGGTATCAAGATAATTTTCATTCAGGAATATGATTGGATTCGTTCAGCTGCGAACAATTAGATGCACTTCTTAACAAAGGCGAGACTGCCCCCTTTCGGTGCAAAATTGAAGCTGATCAATCCCTTTAACATACCTTTTCATGAAACAAAATGGATGACAATTACATTAACAACATAGTTGCACCAGCTCAGTAGGCCTTAAGAAAGTAAAACCAAGGTATGTTATACAACAATAGTACAAGGGAAGGGAAGACGGAGAATTGAAGAAGAGTTAAACCGGTTAATCACGATATGGCGAAACACAACCAAAATGTATATACAAAATGATGCATGTCGCCAATTGCTGCTTCTCTCCTACTTCCCTCCCCAGTTCATCATTTTGTGTATATGCGTTGGGTCTCACTCCCTAGCAAGATTATCTATTACTAGTCTGTCTTCATCAATCATCTTAAGCGCAGAAAGAAAAATGAATGTGTCCTAGGATCTTAATGTACTCCTTGAATATCTCCAGAAAGAAAAATAGTCAGACCAACGATGGTGGCTGCGATCTGTAACCAAAAAAGAGAGAGGAATGCAACTTTGATGTATGAGATACGAATGCCTTAGGTGCCTCAACAAGAAATGGTCGGGGAGACACCTGAATGTTGTTCTGCAATACATAGGAATTGCATAAGTAATTAACAGAGTCCACTATTTTTACCTTGACGTCTCTGGGAATGGAATAACAGGGTCAAGTGGTAGACCGGAAAAATGACCTCAACAACTGAAACTGTGATGTTCGAGGCATTAGAATCACTGCAATGTAGTGCTTATTGCAAGGGTAGGGCAAAATCCTCTGCAGTGTTTATCATGCTGATGAAGGGGCGAGCAATTCTCCAACTTTACAACACCCTTCATCTTGAACCTGCAAAAGATTAAATTAACATTTCTGTTACCACCTAGTAAATAATTCTCTGAGAAAAGAGTGGGTTTTGTGAGGAAGAAATGGCATTCCATTGAAAGGTGAAACATATAGTAATAAAGGTAGCAGGCAAAGCAAATTCATAACATAACGACCCACCTTAAAGGAGGTACCTATATCACCATTATAGATTATTGACTGGTAGCTACGTAAAATTCATTCCATCCAATAATAGTTCTCCTGAAAAATGAAATTCAAATATCAGAAGATATGATTTAATGTTCAATTAAGGAGGTTCGTTATGAAAGGCCCTAATGTTCAGGTAAATATACATTGGTCATAAGGAGACTTGACCTGCAATCCAATTTCATGGGCCCTCTGCTCAAACTTGAGTATTGTCGAAACATCTTCATCCAATGCCCTTCTTCTTGAAGGCGTAGTATTTCATCCAAAGCAAGATCCACCTGGTAAAAAAGAAAAACATGGAAATATTCAACAACAATTGCTCAGGTGGGTAACTAAAAAGTTAAGACCACAACATGCTACTTACCAACTTTGAGGAGCTTCCAAGATCAAAAGAAAAATTGACACTGATGTCACGATGTATATCACTGGTTCTTGAAGGTCTATTACCACCAAGGAACATAGAAACACTAGCAGAATATATCTGCATTCAGAGTTCATAAAGCATAAGATAGATGTACGCTGCTCAATAAACAAATTTTTTACAGAAGTCATAAAAAGATACTCACCTGCCCATGCTTGACACGGAGAACCTGCAAAAAATTTGTTTCGAGAAGCTTGCTCAAATACCCAACAGAGTGTACCTCTTCTACCTGACAGTTTCCCAAAGAAGTTAGAGATGTAACATTCATTAATATCAAGGAAAAGGATCCTCTCGGCTCTAGAGGGTTTAGAATGATCGAGAGTTGCTAACGATGGATCCATTCTTTAGCTCCACAGGAAAGCTCAACTGAATAGAGCAATGTGCTTCACCATCGAACTCCTGACCACTTCCTTGCAATATCAAATATATTAGAAAAAAATTTAAATTCGAACCAATATTTATAGGAATCAAGGACTTGAATGACACCTGGAGAATGGATATTGGGACAAGGAAGGTGGATACACAAACACACACGGGAAAGAATGTGTCTGGCAAATTGGTAAGCTCATCAATTTAAGGACTAATAAATTGGCTACTTAGTTTAAGAAATCATAATTACTTTCAAGTTACAATTATAGAACCATTAATTTCACACACATTTGAACTACTATTCAAAAGAGATGGGGTGTTTGGGGGGGGGGGGGGGGGGGGGAGCACATACCTGATTATGCTACTTGGAAATGTGAAAGGCAAGTCTTTGAGCTCATCCATGCTATAGTGGAGTATAGGTTGTGGAGGCTTAGGTATACCACCCTAGACAAAAGAAAAATGAAGGGAATTGAATTGTGAGTAAGTAACCATGTTACTGAGAGGATAAGTTTGTCCACATCCGTATAATAAAATCAATGAGATAAATTGCCTTGGCATGTTAGAACTTCAAATTGACCTTTCAGAGATATCAAGTCTGTAACTAGGGCAAGGACAGTCCAAAACTTCTAAGAGCTTTGTATGCACGTGAGAAAAACTTGAGAAATAACAACAGTAAAATGCAACTTTTCTTACTAATAAGAACCTGCTTAGGATCGAAGTGTTAAATACTCACCAGATACTGCAAAACCAGAGGAACTGCAACAGCTGAGTCAAGATTCCCAACAATCGCATCAATGTAAGACGAGGGGTCCTTGAAACACTTATTGAAATATTCACAAGCTTTCAGTGGATCAACTTTTTGTAGGTCACCTATTTTTATGGGCGGACGAACCACACACAAAGCAAGTCTTAAGTGCATCTACTATGTGTTCTCCTAAATTGGAAAATAGGTAAAGAACATGAAACCAGGCATACTCTGAAAAAGTAGGAGTCACCATAGTTAATCTCTTTCACTCGATCTGCAAATGTAGTGTATGGATCCCTCTCATGCGCACGAACAGCTTCATCTGCCATTTGCATGACAATTTTAACGTCTTCTTCTCCAGGTGTTAAGGTTGTTGTAAATAGTTGGTAGACAAGCTGTTGAGATATAGTAACAACATTAGAAATGAAAGACAACTTAAAGTGCTCTTCCATATAACAAATCGGAATAGTCGGCAACGACACCTCAAAATGAGCTAATAATCCAAACATATTAGAACTATTAAGTCCTACGTTCCAAAAAATTCGGAGTCACTGCTCATTACGAAATTTTCGACGTACTGTTCACGGGCTCACATAGGAACGACAGCACCTGATTACATCCTCCAAAGAAATAGAAACGACAATGCCTACATTCTAAAAGAAAAAGAAAATAAAGAAAATAGAAAAGGATGGCTGCGCAAAGCTCTTTGCATTTCCCCTCTCCCGTATACCAAAACCCACCCCGATCCCTAATCTCATTCAACGGTGCCGGGGAACCTCACTCCGGCAGGCGGCGGCGACTCCGACCCCTAATCTCATTCAACGGCGTCGGAGAACCTCGCTCCGTTAGGTGGCGGCGGAGGAGCCTCTTCAGAACCCATAGTCCTTAACCAATGGCGTCGGAGAGCCTCGCTCCGGCAGGTGGCAGCGGAGGAGCCTCTTCAGAACCCACAGTCGTTACCCCTAATTGCATTCAACGGCGCCGGGAAACCTCGCTCCGGCAGGTGGTGGCGGCGGAGCCTCTTCAAAACCCACAGGCCACAACGGCTCTTCAGAACCCACAGGCGACAACGTTTCGTCACCCGGATTTGTCCCGCTATAACAAATCGAATCACTGGATTTCGGCGAGTCAATAACTCGATAAATGCTTCTCACTATCTACCACTCTACTCCTCTGCTAAACTGATATTCTTCAAGAGACGAAATTGGGTATCTTCGTATCTGGCAAGTAGGGAATTGACAAACAGATTTGGGTTTATGCAGTTGTTGCAGTAGTCGTGATGAAAATAGTGCCATAAACTATAATCACAACTTTGGATAGCCTGAGCGATCATGTTAATCGACTGAACATTAACGAGGCATGAGAGTTCATTAAAAGATCTGATTATAAGGTTATGGCTTTGGGCAGGAAGTTCAAGCTGATTAAGGTGGAGGGACTCAATTGAATGATATTGTATACTTGCAGGTATGATTGAAATGGAATGTTTATGAATAAAATGTGTTTAAGTTCAGGCTTTATTGTATTTAGCTTATAGGATGATGCGAAACAAATAGGGTGCTAAGGACTACTGAATTAGAATGAAGATCAGTTCATTGATTTTTGTACATTGAGTTTTCATTTTATCATGTAATGAAATTAAGTTCAGAAGAGAATAAGGTCTAATATGATGAATTATGTTTTGTCCAGGAGTTTCAGTACAACCATTGAAGGAAGATGTCACACCTTAGAGTGATACAGATGTGATGAAATAGAACAAGAATCCAAGACTGTCATACTTTAGTAAGTTTTTCTTCTTCAATTTTTAGTTATGAACATTGATAAAAGGTGGGTTCATTTCAGCTTAGAGTAAAACCACGTCTAAGCTTCGTATAAGATTAAATTTCCATGGGGACATTATGCATTGCTTTAAATTTGTATATGAACTGATATAAGCTTTATGTTCTGCGTCAACATTAAGAGATGATCCTCTTTGGTTCTATAAGGGTTATGATGGTAGCTTAGTATACTGGTGTAATAGTTCTAATCATGAATGGGTTTTAATTAAAAAAGCGATTATCAAGAATTTCTGTTTTGCTCACGTTATTATCAATTGTCATGAAGTTTACTTTCAATGTAATTGATCAGCATGAATTCTTCTTTTACTCGAAAAATGGGACTAATTAGCAAGAAAAACTCTAACCATACAAAGAAGTGAACATTTGTATGCAGGGAAGCTAATAAGGAATATTTTAATTAGAATACAATTAGACTTCTACTTTTGTGCTAATTATTCCGAGTACGTTAAAAATTCTCCAGTTCCACTTCGAATTAATTTGTCCCTATTAAGGCAGAAAAATAGTTTGTCTCCAATTCTAATAATAAATAAACTCCTATAAATTGACCGTCCTAGATCAAAATCAGGCATTGCTTCATTATTTCTCACGTTAACTCTATCCTTGCGCTTGCTTCCGCTCTGCAATATGTCCTCCGAAACTCCAAAACTCCTACAGGAACTCACTATCGGTGACAAAAAGGGAGTACTGAAGCTCCGTCTCCTCCACTCATGGCTTTCGCCAAATCCAGCTAATCCTGGCTATGTGTACGACTACAGTACCCTATATGTTAACGAGACGGTAAAGTACCTTTCGCTTTCCCTTCTAATCATATGTTCAACAGTTATCTACCTTCCTGACTTTGTCTCTTTACAAGGCATGTTGATCCATGGCCTTAGATCGTACTTTTGCTGGCCATTCGAAGTCCAAGCTCACTGTTGGATCTGTATATGGTATAAAGGAATTCATATCACGGCCAGCCAAAGAAACCTACAAACCATGCAAAAACAACATGTGTCTCTCCATTGTCCCGGCAACCGAATTTGAAGATGTTACTACCTCTGCTACAGATTTTATTTCAGACAGCTTAAAGTTCTGCGACGTTGAGTCTTTGCGAGAACGTGTAGGTACTAAGACACTATTGACATGTAATATAAACTGTACTTAATATCTCTCAAACGATATGTGTTATATTGATACTTTTATTTCCTAATGAACAGATGTTGTGGGCTGGTGAGGTCCGTCGGCGAAATCGACCACATTATTACTCGACATGGTAACACACCTTGCCAGAAATTAATGCTGAAAAATCTGGGTTTGGCTGTTTGGGATGGAGCAATCAAGAGCACAACATTCAACTCATCGACTGCCACAGACTGGATACAATTACCAGATAAGTTCCTCATCCCGCATACAGGAAATAGAATTAAGGCAATTACTGATGTTGTATATGAGGATTTGGATAATAATTTCCAGGATATCAACTACATCAATAATCGAGCCATAGTCACGCCAACAAATCGAGTAGTTTCGGAGATCAATGACTATATGTTGGCTAAAGTCAAGGGAGAAGCAAAGACATACTACAGTTCAGATTCGATAGAGGATGATACGATAAACAACAGCAGGTGGAAGAGGAGTACCCAACTGAATTCCTAAATAGCTTATCGTTCAATGGTGTACCTGAACATGAACTGCAATTGAAAGTCTCCACTCCAGTCATCCTTCTTCGAAATCTCAATCCATCAATTGGCCTGTGTAATGGAACAAGGATCATGATTACACATTTGGGAGAACATGTCATCGGAGGTAATATCATTGGAGGATCGTACGACAGGACGTCGGTTGCTATTCCTAGGATTGTGCTCAATATCACTGAGCATTGTTGGCCTTTTACCTTGAAGAGGAGACAGTTCCCAGTCAGAGTGTGCTATGCAATGACAATAAACAAGATTCAGGGACAAAGTCTTGATATAATGGGAGTCTACCTGCCTAAGCCGGTGTTCAGTCATGGCCAATTGTACGTAGCAGTTTCGCGAGTACGATCAGCTGGTGACTGGCATATACTAATTGACAACGATGGCGAAGTTCCACAATCATATACTAGAAATATAGTATATCACGACACATTTGCTGATGTGCACACCGCACCGACATCACACACAGGTAAAGAAGTTTAAATAGCCTATAATTATTTCTCACCCTCCCTTACATTCATTCACCAACGAATGTGCTTATAAATGATACAGATGACATGGACTCCGATAGTGAGCAGTTCAGGAACCAGGATATATAAGAAGGGACTCCTTTCATACTCTTTCACAGGTAACCAAATTTTGCCGAACATTACTAATAGTCAAATAATATATACCCCAAAACCACAAGACGTATAATTATAAATGGGTTAGCAACTCAAGTTTGATTTATAATTTATCACTAGAGTTTTTTCATAAACATTATCAATGTGTTAACCATGCCAAGACAACGTGCATTGAAGCCAACCTTTTCGAAGTTACAATTGTCTAATGATGGAATAAAACCAAATAGAACAAACATTTATAGAGGTACATAATCAAATACAGCAAAAATTTATACTGGTACAAAGTAGGTCATTAAGACTATCGACGATATAAGATTTTTTTTTATGATTAGCGTGATATTAAATTAGTGTTGGGTTCTAATCAAGTTGCACTTCCTTTTGGTTTTCCAGATCACTATATCGGATGCACCACAACAACTATCGGTGAGCTCTCCACTAAAGGAACTTCAATACGCTACAAATGATAATGTCAACCAAGTTATCGGCATGCCAAGACCATTGTCATTTCTTTTTTGTGAAATTTCATTATATTTCATTGTAATATTTTCCGATAAACCACAAACACTATGAATATCGATTTTTACAACATTAAAATAAACACACGCATGATCAAATTATATTATTCAACATTAACAACAGAGTAAACGAATTACGAATCAAATCCCGTTGCGTAGCACGGGCTAATTCTCTAGTAATTTAGTTATAAGAAAAGCAGTCACTTTTTCATTTTTCTGTATGCAGATAAGGTAACTTGGTTCTACGACCGTAGACCCAATTACATATCGTTTATACTATCATATGAGGGGTTTTATTGAGCGCAACTGAGATTCTTGCAAGATTATCTCACAACTATTTCTGACAAGCCGCCTTCAAAAGGTCTACAATGGTACCAGAGTTGTTGGATCCAACAATCTAAACATTCAACTTCTTCCACATACAGTCAAAAAATAATGGACAACAAGATGACTACATTATAAAATCATTTTGTACTAAACTAGTAATGCAACATCTTGCCAACCGTGAGCAATCAAATCTCTACAAAGTCTATAAGCCTAGAGAAATAGAAATAACAATATATATCCTCTTTCTAACACTTTTGGAATAAGAACCTGCAAAAACAAGATGATATGAGATTCTTGAACTTGGAGATAATACATGATCCCTTACTTTTAAAGTCTCTACATAACAACAATAGCAAGATAGCTCATCTACTACAAAACCATTATAAACTTACAAAATATGCAATAGAATTCAACAGAAAGATGAACCCGTACATAGTAAGTCATTCTAAGAAACAAACCTGCAAAGCCGTTTCCAAATCCTTGGGAGAACAATGACCCTAGAAACTTCTCATGTATGCTCTAAGCTTTGTACTCACTTCAACTCTTATACCAGCAAGCATATTCATTAACATTGGAGGTCTGTAACCAAATACACCTATTTCACCAGCAATGGTTGATCCCATTGAACATGAAAAGTAATCACTTTCTGGAATTTCAGATAGGCCCCCATACGAGAAACCTGTAAAAAGAATTTGTAGAAAACAAACAGTAAGATATGGATTGGTTTACCATAATAGACGTGTCCTATTACTGCTAAAGGTATACTCAGATCATTGTCAAGTTCGTATCTACAACAATGACAAGTAAAAAAAGAAGGCTACTGGCTGCAGAGACCTGAAATTGCAGTTCATCTGGATGAGATAAAATTACTCCAAACAAACTTGTCAAAAACAAATGAGTTCATTCTATCTTTTATTTTCAATGTGACAAAAGGAGATAGATATTATTTGAAATAACCTTCTCTATTATGGTATTATTACAAGGTAATCTGATAGAGAGATTCCCAACTTAAATAGCTAATTATTTATAATGTAGCCCGTCACAATTACAAAGACTTGTAAGACTTTGTGCTCAAGTTTTGACACCCTTACAAGCCTGTTCACTTTTGATTCCTAAGCCCACAAAACTCCTATGTTGTCGTTGAATCACCACTGAATCATTATGAAGTTAACGCAAGGCATTCTTGTAAAAAAAACCCGCAAAGCATTCAACAACTAAAAGTCTAAAAGTAATGAAGTACTAGTACGGTAATTAAAAAGGCATAATTGTGCCAGTTATTGTTAAAAAAATGTATATCTTATGTCTATCACCTATGCTTAGGACTACATACAACTTTTGTAGTAGCTAACAATAATAAAAATTATAATCTTAATTGACAATAGCTCCATTCTTACACTAGAAAAATTTATAGTCCTAATAGATCATATTCATCATACTGGATACATAATATCAATAACTTTATTTTTGCGATAACCATATTTATAATCTTAATCAATATGGCTTTTACCTGATCATCAAGGAAATATGTGCACTTGTAGCAAACTCGCATTTCATTAGAGAGTATTAGCTCAATAGCCTCAATATTTGAGTATTCAAATTTTGATTAATCACTTGCCTGTTTACACAGTTTTGGCTCACAAGAAAACATTAAACATGTATTCAAACGAGTAACCATTTTAGGGGTCATTCAAAAGAATAGCATGGAAATAAGGAGTATTATCATAATGCACATAGGAGTATCGAATTTTGGAGACATGATAAAATGAGAAATTTTCTTCAAGGATCATGGATGCATAATGCCCGAAATGGAGAATAGAGAAAGCAACATATATGAATAAAATAAAATTAACATACCCTGGAGTTGGCTTCACGATGACAATTCTTTAGGGGTTGTTTGGATTAGGAAATGTGGGCAGGGATTTTGCCACAATTCCTTGTCATAAGGAATTTTGTCACAATTCTTTGTTTGGATAGGAAAATAAAAATGAGAGATTTACCAATTAGGAATTTCAAAAATCCTTGTATCAGAGATTTTAAAATAGCTAATGGACCCCAGGTTTTTTAAAATCTCTGACAATTTTTTTCCCAACCTTCCCAATTTATCCCTCCTTATTTTTTGTTATTCCTTTCTTGCCCTCACCCTTTATTCACCGACTCACCATTTCCAACCTCTCTTTCCCATCGCTATCTCCTTCTTCCCTCCCGATACGAGAAACCATCTGTCTCCTCCTTCATTTTTCTCGCATCGTCGGCGACTGCGGCGGGGTTCTACTAGCTCCGATCTACAGCGACGTCGACGGCTCGACGCTCGCCTTGAAGTCCGTTCGATCTCACCAGCTTCTCGTGCGGGGATAGCAGGGCGTTGAAATTCAGGGCACGACTTTCAGGTGCGTCCTCTCTTCCTCCTTTCTCATTCTATGCGTGGATCATTCTGGTTCGGGGGCCCTTGATTCTGGGTTTATGTGTATTAAGAGTTTCGGGTTAGGGTGCGAATGATTTATCTTCTTCCTCATTTTGTTTGCATATGTGAAACTAGGGTTCTGGGTTGGTACGAACTGATGAATCTTCTTCCTCGTTCTATTTGAATATATATATATATATGAAACTAGGGTTCTGGGTTGGGTGCTCATTTTCTTCCTCGTTTGAATATATGAAATTAGGGTTGTGGGTTAGGACGCGAACTGATTATGAAACTAGTATGAAGTTAGTGTGTCTGGGTAGGCTAGTTTGTATGAATATGGCAGAGAGGCACTTGATAGTATGCAACAAGAAACCCTAGAGCTTCGTTGATATTCTCTTGAAACCCTAAGCCTGCGATCTGGGTTGTGGGTTAGAAACTCAGTACAACTTGAGTTCACAATTAAACCCACCTAGATTCTCAGAATCTTAATATCAATTGCAAAGTTAAGCTCTGGGTGAGAAAGACTTAACATCAAGTAATAACAACAACTAATTTATTTGAAGCCTTTGTAACACAATATTACTTAGCAGCCTTTCCATTCATGGAAGATTAAGAAAGGAAACAGAAGTAGCACAATTTGAGTGAATGTTATGATTTGATATGAATGGATTGTTTGTTGTACTTATGTAACTAATTGAAGTTTTAATTTCAAAAGGATGTCTCGGCTGTCAAGGATGTCTTCAATGGAAAGACGCAAGTTGATTGCGGCGATTAGCGCATTTTGGAATCTCATTATGATATATTTTGAGTTAGGGATGGAAGTAATGAAATTAACAGAGCTATTGCTTGTAAATCCTAGACTTGGTAGACAGCCCTTAGACGGTTACGCAATGCGACACTATGATCGACAACGGGTCATTTATAAATGCACCGTTCCTCTTGACTATTTCACATAGTGACAAAAATAGGAGTTTAGCTGTAGATTTGCGTCGTTCCACAGAAACCATATATCGGTCCTTTCACCGAGTGTTGCGGGCAATCCTTAGACTCAACAAGCTTCTAATGAAGAAGCCTGAACCAATCCCAGCCGATTCCACCAATAAAAGATGGAAGTATTTTAAGGTTTGCCAACTAAAAACTACTCTTATAATCTTTCTTTTGGAGTAGCTTGTCAAAATGTTTTCCTGTAACATTTTTATTTTTTCTTCATTGTCATAGAACTGTTTGGGAGCCCTTGATGGGACCCATATAGATGTCCGACCACTGAAGGAAGAACGAACTAGGTACCGAGATAGGTCAGGCGATCTCACAATCAATTGTTTTGGAGTTTGTACTCCCGACTTAGAGTTCGTCTACTGTCTTGCTGGATGGGAAGGATCTGCCCATGATGCAAGGGTCTTGAATGATGCCTTGAATAGGCCGAATGGCCTTGTTGTGCCAGAAGGTAATTATATTAAATAACACTAATTGGTATATGCATAAAACTTGATTCAACGGTGTAGGAAATCTAATTCAGAATATTTTTTTGGTTTAGGGTGTTATTATCTTTGTGATTCTGGCTATGCTAATAGTCCCGGATTTTTGACCCCGATTCGGGGTCCAAGATATCATATTGATGAAACAAGGGGACATCTGCCGCAAACAGCCGAAGCATACTATAACTGGAGACATGCTCAAGCTAGAAACGTAGTAGAAAGAATCTTTGGAGTGTTAAAAATGAGATGGGCAATCCTTAGGGAGTCAACTTGGTTTTCTATACCTGTTGTAGCTCGAATTGTGCTAGCTTGTTGCATTCTGCACAATTTTATAAAGAAAGAACATGGAGTCGATATATATGAAAGAACATTTCGAGACCAAGACATACAACAACATGGATCAAATGAGGTTGAAACAATGGCCGGAATATCCAGCACTCAACCAACTGAAGCTTGGAATCAGTTTAGGACTGATTTGGTCTCGGAGATGTGGCAAACTCGACCTGCTAGATTTCGAGCTTCTTATTCAGTTTGATTAGTTTTCATTTAATGTTGAGGACCTGTTTAGTTGTAATAGTACTGGCATTTTTATGCAGAATGAACTTCAGACGTTGGGTACTTTGTTTTTTTGTCTACTCTTATCTGGTAGATGTGGTTGAGTACTTTCTTTTTGGAATCGAATGAGTTTATCATTGAACCATTTTATGTTGGAATCAGTGGTTGAACAATCATGACTAAGGCTGCCATATGATCTTTATCTGGTGTTTGTGCACATAATACAATAGCGGGGAAGTTCCATGTCTGCTCGATGGATTTCATGTTGGTTGACATTATAGAACATTGGATTTCAGCTTGGGCTTTCCTTCTTTATACCTAGCTTATAGCATTGAACAGAAAAATGTCATTGGAAGGGCATAGATGTGTAAACTTTTCTTACTACCAAAGCGTACACGGCTTGTCTATGTGGATGGGATTGCTGCAGGCGTTGGGTGTTGTTTCTGAGAAGGATATAGCAGTAGTTTCAGTCATCACTATAAGCTACCAACTCTTAAGAATTTGGATAGTCTGCCACTGAAGTCTGTTTGTAGTTGTGCTTGTGTGTAATTGCAGACTTTTGCTTGTGGGTTATTCTCATGTGGTTACTGTCCATACTCCATACAAGGAGTGGTTTATGATGTAGCTAGATAGTTATTACTAAATGTTCAATTTCTTTTCTTGCTTCTCCTGATCTTGTTTAGTTGGTTTGCTTTTTCGCTTGGCTCTGATCCTTGGTTGTTGTTGCCCTGTCGTCTCTAGTTTTTCTGTTTCTCTGGGTGTTATCAAGCTTCTTCTTACTAATTTCTGTGGGCTTGTGCCTTCTAACCGTGGCCACTTTTTGTGGGGTTCCTTGGCCTTCCAGGTCTAAACTGGGTGTTAATTGACCTTGCTTTGCCTTTCTAGGTTTTCCCTTGAGCTCTCAATTGGTAACTCGTTTGATATGCCTGTTTCTATGCCCAGATTTCTTTGTTATTTTCCCTAAAGTGCAGAGATAATTTTCAGTTGCAACTCTTCTCATTAGTTCTGTTTTGCAGCATGGGAAAGAGAAAGCAACGTGATGAGGATATGGATGGTGCTTGCTCTAAGACATATACGTACTGGAAAGAGGAACTAGACAAGCCATTTGCTGAATGTATTCTGGAGCTTGTAGAGAAGGGGCAGATCGTTGACGGCAACTGCAAGAATGGGGCTTATAAGCAGTTAGAGAAGCTGTTGCAGGAAAGAGTGCCGGGATGCAGGGTCAAGGCATATCCTAACATTGAAGGCAGGTTCAAAAAACTGAAGAAGAGATGGCATGCAATAACATTTATGAGAAAACAAAGTGGTTGGGGATGGGACGAGGTCAATAAATGCATTGTATGTCCCGAGGGATCTTGGGATGAGTTTGAGAAGGTAAATTACAACATGATCTTCATTTTTCTTTCCTATAAACTACTCTTTTTCTAATATAAGCTGCCATTTTCTTTCTATTTATATTGCTATCTTGCAGAAGCACACAAGCTGCAGAGGGTTGAACAAGAAAAGATTTCCCGCCTACGATGACCTAGCACCGGTTTTTTGCAAAGGACGTGCAAGTGGTGAGCACGGGGTCGACACCAATGTTCTTGAAGGTACCGATTTAGATGATGATGAATCTGCGCCTGTCCAAAATGACGAAATGGATGATGTGTTGATGGAGGAAATACAAGCAGAAATGGCAGCACAGAATAATCAATCTACCAGTGTTACCGCCTCAACCGATGGTGCTCCAATTAAGAAGAGAAAGAAAGGTAAGACAGTCGATGAGCACCTCGCCAACTCCACTGAGGAAATGAGAGAACTTCGACCACTGATTAAGCAATCAGTTGACACTATTGCAAGAGCACTCGGGGAGAGCGATGATCTCATTAGCAAGAGATCGAATCTGCTGAGGAAGCTGGAAGAACTTGGAGGCCTCACAACAACTGATATCATTACTGCATTGCGGAAGCTGTCTAACAACGATAGGGACCTGGTGACATTCTATTCGTTGGAGGCAGATGAATATAAGATGGCTTTTGTTAGGGGATTGCTTGGATGAAGGCGAATGATTTTAGGACAAGCTGGAATTTTTCTATATTGCTTATGATAGGGATCTGGGTTGAGCTTTTTGGGGATATACTATATGTTTCTTGTTTGTTGAAAGATGGTGTTTGGTAGGGAAGTTAAAGTGCATTTGCAAGACTTGTTATTGTGGGTTTGATTACTTTGTTGATGTTGTGGAAAATACTATATGCAGCAGCCAAACAATATGATTCCTGTGCATATTATTGTTATTGGTTATGTTGTCTTGTTTCTGGAGACAAGTATGGTTCTGCTAAGAACAAAGTAGCAAGAAGCTTAACATACAGGAACCAGAACAATGATGATTAGAACAGAACATGGTGTGTTTCTGTATATAACATTGTTTTAGAAATAATGACCTTGTATCACGATCCATAATATCTAATTCAATCTTTCTCCTTGTATTATTTAAGCCTAATTAATCCAATTCAAGTTGAGGTTTGATATTCATTTGTCATTGGAACTAGACAAATTGAACAGTACTTTCTCCCTTACTTCTTCTTATTGCCCTGTTTTAGGATGGAACTAGACAAATTGTTCCCTGATGGCACCCACGATTCAATTTGGGAGGTCTTCAACAGCCAAGAATAGAGAAAACCCACGATTCAATTTGGGAGGTCTTCAACAGCCAAGAACAGAGAAAACCCACGATTCAATTTGGGAGGTCTTCAACAGCCAAGAACAGAGAGGAGGGAACGGAGAAACTCTCAGCAGCTACACCCCCCTTCTCCGCCACGATCTTCGCCGGGATCCTCCTTTCCGCCGCCTCCGAGATTGAGAAACCCGCTGCTTCTGCGCAACCCAATAATCATCCACTCTGGTCACACTCGGAGCCTGCTCCAAATCTTCCCGGGCGTCGTTGGCCCCGGTGATGGCGAACGGGACCGTGAGTCTGATCCCCGGCGAGATCGTCTCCGGCGACATCCTCTGCCCCCGCAACGTATTGAGATCGTCGAATTCATCATCATTGCTTACTGCTTGGTGAAGAACATAAAAGGGGCAATGATTTACGGAATCGTCTTCGTCACATCCGTCTCCTGGTTCCGGCACACGAAAGTCACCGCATTTCCGAACGATTCCGCCGGAGACGCCGCGTTCGAGTACGCCCATTCCCTGGTCGCATCCATCGCTGAAGAGAGGGATTAAAAGTGTCTGCAAAGAAGAGAGTGAACAGGGCAAAATAGTAATTTTATGTTTGTCATTAAAATAGAAATTGCTCATTAGACAATTCTGGATCCTTCATCAAACAAGTGATTTGATTCAATTTCCTTGTTTAAATTACCTGGATTTTCAAGAGCAGAATTTGGATACAAATTCCTTATAAATCCCTCAAATCAAAATGCTTAATCCAAACGACCCCTAGGAATATTCTCATCAGTCCAAGGAGTTATGTTTTTTTTCTTGCTTGAGCCTATTGATAGTCTGTAAGACAGTTTTCATGTCATCACCTGTTGCAGAAGTTGGTGGTTCTACTACCTTTATGACATAACTGCATGATGTCTGTAAATTCTCTGCATAATTTGACACCTCAACTGCTGACATCTCTGAAGAAATTCAGACCAATGTCAGAATTGACAAAATTTGCCACAATCCCTTTTTAAGGCTACGTGCCAGAATTCATTTTCTCGAACATGTCGATTTAGGATGCAGTGAGGGAATCACGGGGAAAGATGTTTTTCAGAAGTTGAGCTTCATATTCAATCCCAACAACTGGCTCACCTCGAAGAAAATGCTGCAAAATGTTGTAAAAACGAGGTTTATATATGTAAATCTAGGAAATGCACACTCATGATAAGTCAAGGAAAAAGATTAGCTTTTCATATTTGTAAATGCTCGTCTCTCAAGTTGGTTGATTGCATCCGATCACGCTCGAGATAGGCATATTCAATTTCTGCCATTATTAAAGCTCTAACAATACAAATTTCACGTTCTGAAAACTCATGTAAACGGACCCTCGCAACCTAAAACATAATATGCATTGGTCAAGTGAAAAAGAAATAGTAAGCAGAAAGCCAAAAAAGTCATAAACCAACAGACTGCACCTCAAGTAGCATTGACTGTAGGAAATCCAATGTGCCTTTCAGCATGCAAGAAGAAGTCACTATACAAGCCTTTAATGGACGAACTAATGCATCTGCGACGACTGAGCATGAGAAATAGGGTGGATCATTTCTACTAGACAATTTTAAGAATATCTGGTTTAGAGTGTAGACAAACATGTACTCTGTGAGCATTTCCCTGTAGTCCTTCACTGTCTTGAGTTCATCAACTGGCATCCTATAGCTAATCATCACAACAAACTATTGAGAGTGACAGAGTCACTGATATAGTAATGAAAGTTATTCTATCTAGGTCAGTTTAGAATTCAAGAAAAAATTATACTAACCCCAACTGACACTAATTCAACAAAACATGAAAACTGTGGCTCCTCGTGGGACGGGACTTCAAATATTGGTAACTCTGGAGGCTCAGACTGTGAGAACTTTTGGCCAAAATGTGACTTTATCTTTGTTTTCATAACCGGAACGGATCCTGAACCGGAAAAGTTAGTGGTTTAGGGTTTAGTAGTTAACTGTTACAAAACCGTTGGTGAACTGATTCGGGCCAAAATGTACACATTTTACTCCTCATTTCATAATCGTTTAGCTTAGTATTTCATCGTTCCTCGACATATTTCACCCTAGGTTGTGTCTGTTTTGATACATTTCCGGTCCTAGCACGTGTGGAAGGGTCGAGGTCAAATTTTGGGGTAATTGAAGGTAAAAAAAGTGCAAAAAACCGAAGAAAAGTCCAAAGTCGACCGTGACAATTGCCTCGTAACAGTGAAGTGAAGGAGTCCCAGGAAACAACTGCAGTTCACGGTCTCCTAAGACCGTGCACTTCGACCACAAACCATGAACACCGAGGCGTCCAGCGAGGTTCCTGAAGTTACTGACGACAAAGCAGTTCACGGTCTCTAAGATCGTGAACTGTGACCATTGACTGTGAACTCAGGAAGCAAGGCGGTGTGTTTTGGAGATGACTGAGTTCACAGATGCGTTTAGGTGTTCACGGACGTGAACTGTCCAACAAGTCCGTGAACTGATCCCTTTCGGGCAAATATGAAGACAATAGCAGGGAGAGAGAAAAGGGAGCTGGTTTTTGGAAAAGAAACACTTTCTTTCTCTAGGGTTTCAACCTAAACACCAGAGCGGAGTCCTAGTGAGATAGAGAGAATGCTAGAGGTATCTTGGAGCATCATTGGAGGCTTGGGTGGAAGATTCAAGCCTAGAAGAAGAAGAAGATCTTCAGCTCAACTTTGTAATCCCTCTCTCTCTCTCTCTCTCTCTCTCTCTCTCTCTCTCAACTCACTCTTTTCTCTTGGGTGGTGTAGATCCCTAACTAATACTCTGTAATTACTTGTTTAGATTGAATGATTAAGTGTGGGTTTCAATTTGAGTATTAGAGGTGTTTTCATGGTGATTGTGCATGCTAACACCCTTAGGTTTGTGCATGTTGGTACTAGCAATCTAATTAGCCACCTTAACCTAGCTTAGAGAGGAAAATCACCCTTCCAAGGTAGACTCAATTGAGTTGGTTTTCCTTCAGCTTTTTAAGCCACCTAACTAGGTTTATTTAGGGAAACCCTCAATGTTGAATTAAGCAAATCGGTTTATCGCGATTAAGCCGTCCGACCTTTGAGTTGAGTGAGGGAGTAAGTAACCTACCGGTTGCCTAAACTTAGAGGGTCGAGTGACACAACCTTTAAAGTTTACCTCGTTTTAGCAATCGAGATTGTGGTCTACGACCATATTTGCATCCCTCTGCGGTTCACGGTTACCAGTTTGCATTTAGGTTGGTTGTGATTAAGCCGCTCAAACTCTGGTTTGAGGGAGAGACCTAGGCAACCACTAGTGACTGAATGAGGGGATCCATCCCGTGACAAATGGATCACTAGTTGCTCCTCCTAGTGGTTCCCTAGACTTGGTGAGTGGATCGATCCCGTGACAAATCGATTGCTAGTGAATTGATTCCGTGACAGATTGATCACTAGTTGCTCACCCCCGCAGTTCACAACCACCTATGCCACACGACTCCATTCAATCCATTGAGTCATGGTAGCTAGTTAGGGGGAAGCAATTCCCGGGTGAAGCTCCCTTAGTTAGACTTTTCCTTTATTTACTTTTCCTTGCTAGTTTAGTTTGTAGTTTTCTTAGTTTTAAAACACAAAACCGTTTTGCTAGATAACAACTTAAGCGATAGAAGTAGGGGTACATGGACCGACCCGGGTTGACAATTTAAATACTTGCTCTATACTGCACCCAGCTAGAGTTTAAAAACTTGGGCTCTAGTCGGGATTAATTTGTGGTGTAGGTTCGTGCGATTCATGAACCGTTGATAGAACCGTTCATGATATATAACAAATAAGACTTGTATATTACAATAATTTAAAAATGAAGTTATCACTGACCACAAATAATTCCAAATTCAAATCCCCACCAAAATATCTTATTAGTACAAATTAAAAATTATTGTGTCAGTCGGTAGTCGACAACAAGGTTGGTAAATGTGAAGAGGAAGCAGATATAAAATTAATAATTATGATTTGATGGTCTAAGTTTATGTTAAGGTATTTTTTTCAATTTTTTTGTTAAAATAATGAACCAGTGGACCAGTTAAACCGTGGTGGTTCATCCTGTTTTATGTTCAACCGTGAAAAACCGTTTGATCCATCAATAATCGTTCAAGCAAAGAACCAAACCGCTATCATAACTGATTTGACGATTCTACTAGTCTGACCATTGATCCGGTTCAATTCTTATAGCAATGGTCTTTATCAACTCACAACACTCTAGAGAGAAAAAAAAAGGTATCAAAGAAATTGTGCAAAAGATATGATATGAGGATCTCAGTGGATCTATCGGTTCAAACGTTGGCATCCGAAAAGTCCCCAACAGCAACCACAACCATATTGTGCAGATGGTACCACTTCGTGTAAAATTGTTGTACGGTATCAAGGGAAGCTGATCGAATCACCTTCTCTAACCCAACTAAGCACCTAAAGTAGGATATTATCTTCCTCCAACTATTCAACACGCACAGACAGCTTTTCTTCCTTCAAATATCATGCGAAAATCAGAAAACATAGATAGTCCACTACTATATCGACAAAGATTTCTCAGATTACTTCACGACTTAGTTCAGAAACCTGAGCAGTAAAAATCAGGAAATACTAGAGCAGAAATCAAAAGTATTTTAAACCAAGAGCAATAGCAATACTTTGAGCTTCGCGACACTGTTTTAATTTTAAACACTGTCATTTTAACTATTGCGGCATCGTTTGGCCTACTCGCGACACTGCTTTATAATCCGCGGTGTCGTTTCTTTCCTCTACGGCATTGTTTTCAACTAAACGACATCGTCCCAAACAGTCATTAAAATATTAATTGATCAATCCGACCATCACAAGTCAAATACGCGTGTTGACCAACGACATCATTAGCGTCAAAACGGCTCTGTTTGCTTTTCCTTTCGCGACATTGTTTGTTATTTTAAACACTGTCGTTTGCTAGTACAACGACACCGTTGGGCCTACTCGCGACACTATTTTGAACTTAAACGACACCGCTGATATAGCCGAGACAAATTCCATGGAACCACCGCCAATCGGCGCTCGCATTGGACTAGGCGAATTTTGGTTTAATTAATCGGTACCGCTTACCAGGCTCTGCGGCATCATTTTTAAATCCGCGGTACCGTTTTAATTCTCCGCGGTACCGCTTGTCTCCGTGCGGCACCGGTTTTCCCCTTTCGCCAAGGAATAAAGAGAATAATAATTAATTAGAAAAACTCCTCCTCCAACACCCAACAAACCGCGCGGCCCCCTTTTATTTTCATTAAGCGGTGTCGTTTCCCATGCCGCGGTACCGCAGAGCTTCCTTGCGGCACCGTTTTTCTGTTTCGCGGTATCGTTTTAACTCTCCGCGACACCAACACCGCTTTTTACCCGCGGTATCGGATTAAATGCCGAGACTAATTAATGCGGCATTTAATTTCGGCCACATTAATTTTAGGTGTCAACAAATGCCCCCCACAATTTGGTTTATAAGAATTATGAACCAAATTGTTGACAACATAGTATAACACCTAAAATACTTGGCTCAAAGTGTTAAAACAAAATAAACAGGTAGGCCAGAGTTAGCAATGAAATCTTTAATTACCAATTATATAACCCTCATGCATGGCCGAACGATTTTGGCCACCAGCATTGCAGCTAATTGCAACAACACGGCCAAACTTTTCCCTTTTTTTTCTTCTACCAGCGTTGCAAGCATTAATTAATAATAATAATGATTTTTTTTTATTTCGGGGCTGTTCGCGATTCGCACCAATCTCGCAAGCAAATTGCCGCAGGGCTGCTTCAGCGAAACGACGTTGCTGATTTTTTTATTTATTTTCTTTCTATTCAGCTCTGCATGTATTATTATTATTAATTTTTTTTTTATATCAGAGCTGTTTTCCGCACCAGCCGCAGCGCTGACTCTCTCCCCCCTTTGTTTTTATCAGACCTGCCGGCCACTTTAGCCATTAATTAATTTTTTTTTATCTCAGGGCTGTTAGCCACAGCCGCAGCGCTGAAAGACTTATTTTTTCAATTCAGCGCTGTTTGGCCGCCACTCTCCTTTTTTTTGTTTTTTTTTTCGTTCAGGCCTGTTTGGCCGCCCCTCTCCCTCTTTTTTTTTTCTTTCTTCAA